CTGTAGTGGCGACCCGCGACCATGGAGATATAAACAGCTTTTTATAAGGTAAAAATAATAAAACAAGGTCTTTGTCTGCAATGATTAGACATGTTTTTTGTTATTGACATTAGTGATTTTCTCAATTTCGGCTGAAGGAATTGACAAAATCCTACACATTGTGCCTTTAAGGAGGAGAAGTGTGTGTTATGGTTTTGTGTCACTCTTCTTAATCGATGCCCCACCTTCTCCTCTTCTCCTTTAGGGAAGGAAACGCAATATTGAGAGGAAATCTGAAAAGGATTTTCGCTCRGAGATAACAATGTCCAATGTAGGTTAGAAAAACATTGGTGAAGGCTTGGGAGCTGCTTTAAATAACCTTCTGCGTCTGCTCAACAAACCACCTAAAGCCATTAACGAATGGGACCACCCAAAGTTTGGGCAGCCCCTCTTACATAGCAGAACCAGATCTTTTATTTTTTTACTTTGCTTCTAACGACGTTCCAGTGAGTACATCGGGGATAGATTGCACTGATTGTATCTTTGAACAGAGCTTTTACGCGCACACTCTCGGCTCATTTATTATCAGAAGGGTTCTGTGTGAGTCGCACTGCGTCCCTGCCCAGGCTGCTTCCTGCAGGGGGGAAAGGTGCAACGGCCTTAACACAAATATTTACCCAGACTTCCCTGGGTTCACCTGCGTATCGTCTGTCAGCTGCACTGTTGCCGTGTTTGCTTACTTTGCACATTTTTTTTTTTAACTACTGCACTTTGAGGTTTATGAGATTTGTTTTTCTTTTTGCTTTGCATGTGTTTTCTTAACCTGCCGTCCACTGAGCTCTTCAGGCCTTTTACGTTTCTGTGTATTTAGCGTTTTGTTGTGTCTGAGTGCAATGAGCTCAGTCCGTCATCTATAAACGACGTTAAAGGGATCCCTGATTAGTTGTAACATTAGACTTTATTTGATAAACATTTATTTTAACTGTAAAATAAAGACTGTAAAAATACTGTAGGTCCTTCAGTTTAGTATTTTTTTAATATATTTTAACACGGACGGAGCCATTTTATTTACACAAATGAAACCAGAGAGCGTTGACAGAGAGGAGAAGGTAGAAATGACTCAGCCTGGAACTGAAAATATRGATGGAGGACAACAGAGCTGCTTCATGGAAGAAGAACCTCAGCTTAGCCTGTTAGCCTTTGTGCTAGCACCGACCCTATACTGCCTTATATGTATTAGCTCAGCGTTAGCGCGACAAACAAGCTAAACTGAGGTCCTCCATCTATATTTTCAGTTGCAG